TAGATTTGTAGTAATTCTATTCTTATCCAAGCATAATTTTCCAATCCTTTAAATAAATATTCATACATTAATTAAATGAATAATTATTATAAACATAATTATTGTAATCCTCTAATTCACACTTTGACTAATTCATGTACCTTTAATTTAATTTATTTACCCTCCATAATAATTATCCTTGCATTAATTTATTCTTTATTCAAACATAATTTATCAATCCCTACTTTAAATGAATACTCAATTATTAATTAAATAAATTATTCTTAAAAACATAATTACTCTTAAGGATGTTTTTGGGTCATGGATATTACATATTTGGCCAAGCTATTCACCGTGGGGAGCACTAGTATGGTTAGTGAAGAAAAAGAATAGGTCATTATGATTATGTATTGATTACCAAGATTTAAATCGAGTGACCATTAAGAACAAATATCCACTTCTTTGGATAGATGATTTATTTTATTAGTTAAGGGCGAATTTGATGTTTTCTAAAATTTATTTGTTGTTAAAATATAATCAATTAAGGATGAAGGAAAATAATCTTAAGAAAATGGTCTTTAGGACTCGATATGGCGATTATGAACTTTTAGTGATACCATTCGAGTTAACTAATTTACCAGTCATATTTATGGACTTGATAAACCGATTGTCCACTAAATACTTGGATGACTTTATCATAGTCTTTATTGATGATATGCTAATATATTCTAAAATTTATGATGACTGTATGGAGCACCTAATTGAGACACTACAAACCTTACGAGAGCACAAATTATATACTAAACTTAAAGAGTGTCCATTCCGACTCAAGCAAGTAGCATTCCTTGGACATAAAGTTTCTAAGAAAGGGATCATGGTAGATCCTAATAAGGTATAGGCGATGCAAGAATGAACGTAACTAAAGAATGTGTCAAAGGTGAGGAACTTCCTTGGTATGACAAGATATTATAGGAAGTTTGTGGAAGGATTTTTTAAGATAGCTACTCTCCTAACCAAACTAAAAAGGAAAAATGCTAAGTTTGGGTGGGACAATGATTATGAAGGAGTTTTCAAGAGTTGAAATTTAGGTTAACCACATCATCTATTTTAGCTCTTCTAAAGGATAATGATGACTTTGTAAATTATATAGATGCATCAAGGGTTGGGATAGGTGTAGTCCCGATACAATTTGAAAAAGTAATTTCCTATGCATTAAGAAAGTTAAAAGACTACAAAAAGAATTATTCCACTCATGACTTAGAATCAACTGTCATAATTTTTACTTAAACTTAGTAATTTTTTATAATTTTCTATAGCCAGTAGCCATTGGACTCCACTACTCCTCTCTCAATCAATCCACACCCATTCTACGATCATTTCTCCCCAAAAACTTTTTTTTTCTCTTTTTTATTTTTTTAATTAAGCTTAGTAATTTTTTATAATTTTTAAGTTAATTTTAAGTTTAATTGCTTGATTTATAATTATGTATATATTTAATTGTATTTTATTTATTTATTTGTTAATTTTTGTTAATTATTAGGTTAATTTGTTAATTAATTATAAATTAAATTAAATTAAATTAAATTTTAATTAATTAAGTTAATTTTTTTATGTTTAGCTAATTAATTGGGTTAATTATGTTTAATTGGTTGAATTAGAATAAATTTTTTAATTAATTGTTTAATTTTTCTTAATTAGGTTAATTTAATTGTTATTTTAAATTTAATTTGGTTAGAATTAGAATTAATTAACTTAACTTAATTTATAATTATTTAATAAGGTTTATTTTTTTTTAATTAGTTGAATTATAATTTTATTTATATTAGAAATTTTTAATTGTGATTTTAACTTTAATTTGACTAGAAAAAAATTAATTAAGTTAATTTGATTTATAATTCATTAATTAATTAGCTTAATCATGTTTAATTGGTTTAATTCAAAATTTTTTATATTAAAACTTGTTAATTTATTGTTATTTTAAATTTAATTTGGCTAGAATTACAATTAATTAAGTTAATTTGATTTATGTTTATTTAATTAATTTGGTTAATTATGTTTAATTGGTTGAATTGAAACTTTATTTATATTAAAACTTATTAATTTATTGTTATTTTAAACTTAATTTGGTAAGAATTAGAATTAATTAAGTTAATTTGATTTATAATTAATTAATTAATTAGGTTATATATATATATATATATTAAAACTTATTAGTTTACTCGTTGTTTTAAACATAATTAGGTTAGAATTAGAATTAATTATTTTAATTATTTCATATATAATTATGAAAATATGTCGAGATACGCTATATTGTATTGAACTCGAGGGGTTGAAAACCTTTAGGAATTGAGGAAAACTAAGGATGGTTCAATGCTTTGCAATGGAGTCGGGAGGACAAGTTTGAGATTTAATTCCGATGGAATACCCAAGACAATTATTGATCTCGGTGTACATAAATTGATTGTTGGTTGATTTAGTTTGTTATTTATGTGATCATTTAGAGTATTTGTTGATTAGGAAAGGTGAAATTTATAAGGGAGACTCGGCAAAATTTTATTAGATGCTTAGAAAAATTATTAATTAAATAAATTTGTCTATTATTCATTTTTTTCAATGTTTGTTGTGCATTTTGGACATATTGAATTTTGTGTTAGTGGCTTTTTTAGTAACAAGGAAATATCAAATTTATAGATTTTTTAATTTTTTAATTCATAATAATTTATAATATATTTTCGGTTGAATTGTTATTCATTTCTTAAATTGTTTTAGGATTTATTATTAGTTATGCCTCATGAATTGGACGGATCCGATCGCGGTATTAGTGGTCGTAGCTCTAATGTTGACCTTATAGTTGATAGTGATGGTATACCCGGACGTGATACTACTAGTTCAACTATCCATGACTACGGACTTGATAGTGGTGCTGATACGTCCGCATGTCCTCTAGTAGTGCCCTTGCTAGTTATGCCCCATCGATAGTACCTCTTGCTTGTGGATGATCCCATTATGATTCCCTCAGCTCAAAGAAGTCCTACTAGACTAATGATGGACAAACCATTTAGGTTGTGCATAACTAGTAACTAATATGGTTTACATATGATATTTAATTATATATTTTCTTATATTATATTAGAGTAATTAATTTACTTATTTATTATTTATTTATTTTGTTCAACAATTTGGCTCCATCAAATAAGTGCTCCACAAAAATTATCATAATTTTTAAGGAGCGTTAGACGTTGTTGGCTTATATGGAAATCTATCTCTATAGAGACAAAATACTTATACTTTAATGAATTTAGGATAATTTATTAATTATTTAGTTATATTAAATTTAAAGTGTAAATTTAACATGAAAAGTACTAATCTTATGTTTTTCCTTTATATAAAAATAGTTTTTATGGGATACGACCATCGACACACCGACTAAGGATGCATGGGAGAGTCCGAAATGAAGGCGGTATGACAACATGCATAACAAGAGTAACATACATGTGTTTGTTAAACTCGAGTTGTGGGAAGCATAGCATCAAGATCATGCCACTTCCAAGTATCAAGTTCGATCTCGGTAGGTGTCTCGAAATCACATGTCAAAGATGGGTGGTGTTAGTGCCGGCCATCCAAGTATACTGAAGGGTCCATCTCTTTGATTGAGTATGCTTGAGCATTTAGTAAATCCTATATTATTCATTGTGTTATAAATTAATTTTTATATTTATTTCATCTCATATTATTCTTTTTTTTTTTTTTTACCATAATAAATAGGGTCATAACCTAAATCCTTACTAGTTGTTCGTAACCACTTACAAGCGAAGGATAGGACGGTCGTTGATAGGGGGTCATAGACAATAATGATAAGGTTTTATATATTTTTTAAAAATATATATACATCTATATACATAATTCAAAAAATATATTTATGATTTAATATTTCAATATTTCTATGACATAAAAGCGCTTGTAATCATTGCAAGAAGCAAGCTGTTAAGGAGTGATAGATGGGTGATTCATCGTCTTTGGATATTGACATATTCAAAATATATTTGGATGCTGTCGATAGGGAGAAGAAATAGAGAGTGTATGACATCGGAACATATGCGTCCTAGTATTACTCATATTCTAGAGCCGACTTCTCCTCTACCACTTCGTCGTATCTTGATAGTAATATCTAAGAGATTGTTGCCTAGTACGAAGATATGATTAAGGGGACGGAGGCTACCATCCAAGCAACATGCTAGTCAAGTTAGCGAGTATACGATTTAGCTATAGAGAGTGATGGAGTTGTTACGGAACCTCTAGTAGACTAACGTCCTTCCTGCCGACCTTTCTACAACCTAGGAGACACCCGTTCTTCTCAACAACTAGCAATTAAAAGATGATATTAGAAATGATGCTAATGATGAATATATTTCTTGATTTGTTTAAAAGTTTTTAATATTTTTATATACTATAATGCATTTAAATATTTATTTTATTTTAGTTTATATTATTTTAATTTTATTAAATAATATATCTTATTTTAATAATATGTTGTTTATGGTTATTTGTTATTATAATTATCAATATAAGGCTATTGATTTTTAAAAAATTAAAAATTCATTCGTTTCGAGATGGAATTGCATGGACATTTAGCAACGGATACATATACAATCATTAAATAGCGACGGATTTAGCTATGGAATTACGATCCATTATTTAGTGACAAGCCATTTTGTCACTATTTAGCAACAAATATAATTGGAAATAGTAACGGCATGATGACAAATATGAGATAGGATATACGATTGTTTTAGATTGATTTAGTAACGAAAATTGAACAAAATAATGACGGAAAAATAATTACGTTCGCTAACGAAATGGCAACCACTATATTAGCGATGAAATTAAAATTGTTTCTAATCTATCTCTATTGTTATATAGCCTCTAATCCATTGCTATTTTTATATAGCAACCAAATTTTATTGATTTTTATAGTGAAACTCTTGATTAGGAAGTGAAATTTTATTGCTACGGAAAACTTGATGGACTGTCTGGAAGGAAGCATGACCCAAATGGGCTTGCCAGGATGGCAAGAAAGCAGTCAAGGCATGAACAACAACTGTAGGTTGGCAAGCCCAGGAAGTGCGGTTGGATGGCAAGACACACAAACTCTATCCTTAGTGCCTTTCCAAAGAATCCATATTTCACCTGAAAAACCTTGAGTTTCCGCTCCGAAATAATGTTGGAACCTAAGTCTATGCAAAACCATATCCGTATTAACCCCATTAATAGGAGGCTCAGCAATAGCTACCATAACAACTTTGTTAATCCACGTTAAATCACATAAGATACTTTTAAATTCAGAACTGGCTGCCCCCCTACAATTCCAATAGAGTATCCACATAAAATACTTCAATTGGAAAAAGTAACATTGAACTAGCACAAAAAAAAAAAAAATGCTAATTTCCTTGAGCCAAAGGCCTAACCGAGCTGACAATACTAGCTTCAGAAGACCTATGACACACCGTTGAGTCTTTTCAACAACTGAAACATCTCCATCCTAATATTATTGGGCAAATCAATACCCACCATATCCACGTAATCCAGGGCAATAGGAGGATCAGGAGGTTTGGCAGGTCTTGAAAAATCAGAGATGGTCAGGCCTAGAATGATTTTGAGTCGGGTAGGAGTTGGATGGCGTCGAATAGTTACTTGATGAGAAGTTGCAGAAGCACAAGGCCTTTGCAAAATTTGGATTGGACCGCTAGGTGGATTAGATTTGGTAGAAGAGTCCACAATCTCAATGGGCTTTTGAATAAAGAGCCTGCTCCATAAGGGCCCACTTGAGAAGAAACTTCCTTGATCTACACATTATGAGCCATCTCTTTGCCTATTTGTGGGAGGAGGGACGGTAGTCCTGGCATTTATAGCATGCAGTAATTGTCCCCGTTACATTGTTGCCTATATTTTCTCTAGCCGCACTAGATTCATCAGGAAGGTCAATATGACCTTGTTCTTGAAAATCAGCCAAAACATCACATCTTGATCCCTTTGTCCCACTGGGAGTATCTGACTCCTTAATTGGCTTGATTGCAGTAGTTACCTTACCTTCTCCTTGTTCATGGCCTGCTCAACTTTCGTCCCCTTTTTACGTCGTGATTTCTAAACTAGCATACAAGCACCATAAGGCTCAGCCACTTCCGGTCTAATTATCGAAAAGTATGTTGTAACTAACAGGTTAGTAGTCTCTTAAGGTTTATCCATATTATCACCATCACCATGACATATTATATAGGTTTAATGGCAAAAGAATGCTTTCGATCCATTGCTATTACAATTTGACAATTTTAAATCATTATTATCAATTTATATAATTTAAAACTTAAATATCAGATTTTGGACAAATTTTATCCAAATCCTCTAATCATCTTTATTTGTAATAGTCATGCTAAAACGATGCTGTTTTATTCTTTCTACTGATTTTGTTTTTTTTTTTTTTTTTTTTGTTAAAAAAATGTTCATAAATAAAAATTGAATTTTGTGGATGGAGATTCATCAGACTCCCCTCTATGTGGCAGCATCGATCATGTCTAACTGGAACCACCATCATCGGCAAGAAATTATATTTTTCAAGACAAGACTACGTCAGGCTTAGTGTCTGCTGGAATCGAGCCTTTGGCGCGCAATGTTAGTGCAGTTCCAGAGGCAGCAACTACGGGAGTGGAAAGAGCTACTTTTTCCGAACAGTACTTGAGACTAGAAAGGATATCTATTGAGAAGGAGCCTTTTGGCCTAAAAAATGATCAGCCATGCTGTTGCCAAAGGAAGGAGAGATTTGCTGAGAGTGTCGCTCTAAATCACCAAGAATCACAACTACTAAGGCGGCGAAAAATGACATTAATGGCAATTCCTTCTGTTGGCAAGCAAATGGGTTGCCATTCAAACCAACAACGATTACTCTAGACATCAGATCTGAATTAGTTCCCTTAAACAGTTACTCAGCTTCAGGTTCTGAAAACCCACTCATCAAGCCCCCTGGATATCCTATTCCTTTGAAGGACTCTCCCAATAATGCTGGAGTGACGTTCTTAGCTCGTGCGGATAGTGATTCTGCTAGTTCACCTGCTTCTAATCCTATACTCAGGGTGATGGGGAAGAACTTAATTTCTGCTATTAAATTCTTTCTCCTGCGAAATTTGACTTTTATTTATAAACATTTTTTTTAAAAAAATTAATTACAAAAAAATAATAAAAAAGTAATAATAAAAAAAGGCGTTATTTTAGTATTCTCTTAATGGTTAAACTAGGTTCACTGTTACAAAAATTAATGAATTAGAGAATTTGGATAAAATTTGCCAAAAAACACACAAATTTGAGAGCACAAAATAACAATTTGGTTATAAACATGGGATTTTGGTCAAAGAATTTGAAATAAGACTTGCCATTCTTCTAAAAGCCTATAAATATAATTTGGACACAAATTTAAGATTTACGTTCAAAGGTTAGAAGTAAGCTTCATCATTCTCCAAAAAGCATAAAATTGTAATTTGGACACAAAAATGAGATTTTTGATTGAGACATGGCAATAAGTCTTGCCATCCTCTCCGAACACAAATGTAAGATTTTCTTCCAAAAGTTGGAAAGAAGGCTTGCCATCCTCCTAAAAATGTAAAAGCATAATTTTGGATTCAAACATAGGATTTTGGTGTAAGAATTGAAAGAATGTCTTGTCATTTCCCAAAAGCACGAATTTAGCAAAATTGTTATCACCCAAATTTTGACCTTTTTTATTTTTAAATTCTTACAAAAAAAAAATCTTAATTCGATTGATTTTATAAAGTTTTACTTTTCTATTGTAAGAATTTTAGGAAGCATATAATTTTTTATATTTAAAAGAAACAAACAAAAGAAGAAAAAGAAAACAAAGAAGCAAAAGAAATAAGAGAAAATAAATTGAAAATTAGGAATTTGGGTTGAATTGATAAAATATGGGAAAATGGAATAATAATGGAATTAGGGGTTGAATTAAAAACATTGCCAATTGAAAGTACCAAGGAGGAATAAACAAAGATATAAGGTTTAAAAATTTGAAAAGGGAAAAAAGATGGAGGCAATTTAGAATTTCTCTAAAATCATAACAACCCCTTTATAAAAGGACCATTGCTTCACTCTCATGAGAGGAATAGGCCATTCATCTTTTTTTGGAGAGAAAGAAACCTAGAGAAAAGGAAGAACTCTCTCCATTCATCTCTCCTAAAACCACTACCATCAACCATAAAAAATACCTCATAGTCATCATTCATGGCCACTATAACCTAAGCCATAATCCCCTAAAAACCTTCTTAAGCCACCCATTAAAAATCAAGAAATCCCTCCCAAAAAGCCACCGCAACTCTATTGAAAGATCATGCATCTTATGGAGGTGCAAAAATAAATAAAAATTTTTCTTCATTTAAGGACCCAAGATCATGCTATTGAATCTACTAATCATACATATATGAATAATAAACTAAAAGTAAATGATTCCTTTTTGTAGCGTAAATCTAAATTCCTTTTCTTTGATTAGCCATCCAAGTGTCCGGCCTCTATTGATGATCTACGCGACCCAAGTTTCCATTAAGAAGCACTCAAAAATGGGGTGCTAGCTCCACCTTTTCGATTAAGTATTTCCTCTAGAAATCAATTCCGAGCAACTTTGGGATAACCATAAAGGAGAAGGAAAGAGTATTTCTTACTAGGGTTTAAGAGAAAACTATTTTTTCTTTTATTTTCTCTCTTGGTCGTGTGCCCTAGATAATTTTAGAGGTTGGCTGAAATTCTCACCTTTTTTTTTTCTTTTATTACCCAAATCTTGTCTCACACTTTTGCTTGGCCAAAAATACTCCTTTTTTGCTCATCTCATTCTTTATGCCGCACCTTTTCTCCTATTTATAGGGGAGAGTCTCCTTGTCCTCCAAAGACGAGGAGAGTCTCCTTATCGCAGCTATGAGTCCATAAAGGACTCTAGGTTATTGCCTCCTTATCCTTAAGAATGATAAGTTATTTAATATGTGGACTACTTGATTATTATCTTTTACAACATTCAATCTTATCTAATAAGGTTGATATTTATCCCCCTACCAAAATTATCTTTAAGCTTTTTAATTAAATCTAATGGGCCAAAACTATTTTAGCCCAATTAATTTATTTGGACTATCCAAATAAATATTCTTAGATTATTTTGGTGGGGTCCACATTAGAAAATAATTTTCCAAAATACCCTTTAACCTAAATTAGGAAACTCCTTTCCTTTTAGGTTCTTTATTTCCAAATTTGAAACTAACTTCCCAATTAGGAAACCGATTTCTAAAATAAAAAGCTTTTCATTTTTGGAAACTTTTTATTTTGGAAACTTTTTTCAAAATAAGAAACTTTTTTCAATATCTTTGCTTCTCATTTGTAATGTGAATACTTAAACTTATGCATGAGACTCAATAGGCTCCTAGATATGTTAGTAATGTATCAAGAATAAAAGACTACTTTTTTTTATCTATTAATACATAAATCAAGATTGGTCTCTAGTAAGACATCATGGCTATCCAATTCTCGAGGAGGATTAGTTAATCCATTATTATCTTTCCTAAAAATGGTTAACATACAATTCAGTCCTCATGTTAACTTAGCATAGTCTAATCTCAAACTTGATTGTTAGTCTTGTTCGATTATGATCACATAAGTTTTTTTCGATTTCTAAATGTCTTAGCTCTTAGAGTAAACAAACTATGTTATATTGGTGTACTACTACCGTGACCACAAATTTCTTGAGTAGGCATTTATCAAAGTACAATGTGATAACTCCTTTAGCATATAAGAAATGACATGCCCTATCTTAGTCATACACCTATCTCTATTGGATTCCTAGTGCACCCAACAAATTACCAACGTGCAACCCATTAATAGGTCCATCAAAACGAGTGTTAAAGTACATAAGTCCTCCAATGAAATAATCGTGATGACTTTAAGTCTAAGAACTTTTTGTACCCATCTCATATGAGATTCCCATAAAGTAAGACCAAATGGGTTCTCATGGTGAGTTAAGTCCAGTGATATGTTCTCTAACATGAATCACCTAAGCACTTGCTTTGGCATCACCATGCCAATAGGTGTGAGATCTCCTACTTCTATCATATAGCATGAGCATAACACTTACAAGTCTATTCGCATATTGTCAATGTCCATTCTTGATAATGCTATGACTTGGGATATTTAATGATATCATTTATATATATTAGTGTTTGTCTCACATTTTTTGATCAATCACTATTGCAAATTCATATCATAAGGACTTCTATCTAACTCTAATGAATTTATCAACATGTAGACATAAGAGTTAATAGAATGACTTCTTCATTAAATGATTTAATAATACATTAACTTGGGTCGATCCAAACATGGTTGGATCTTGGGCACTAATACTAACAATCTCCCACTTGCACTAGAGCCAACCGGCCATGTCCCTTAGTCTCGACAATCGAGTGAGGGTCGGATGCTTTGGCTATGATGAGGGCTTATGTGGGGTCAACTATATTATTATGGTGTGGTTCTTTTCTATCCTTATACTACCATGATCCTTTTATCTCTATAATCAAGTGATAACATTGTAGTACTTGCTTGGACCGTTGATGAGACCTTGGTTCCTTAGCTTGTGCTATGAATCATTTGTTATTGGTCATTAAGCTATATGGAAATGGAACAAAACCTTCTTTGATTGTTCCATACTAAACCTTTTAGTATCATATCATAATAACTAGCTAGGGAGACTCCTCAAATTCCAAGTGATTTATCTCTATAGATCTATAATCTTACATTATAGGTTTCTCTCACATGCCATCTTTAGGAAATTTCTTCTAGATTCCTTAATCTTTTATTTACAACATAATAATATTATAGTCAAGGTGTGATTTTATGTCGAATAACCATGACTTAGTAGGCTCCCACTAGCTTCTTCTATACACAAGGTTTATCTTTTTTTTAATGAATAATCAAACTTTTTTATCATTCCATAAAACGTGGATTTATATTCCTAGAGGCATGCTTGAGTCTATTAATGGACCTTAGCCTTTTGTAAATCTTATTTGCATGTTCTTGGGAACTTTTAAGGTGTGTCAACTACACATCTCTTTTATTTATCTTTTATAGGAATCAATATCTAACATTGCCATTTCAAAAGCATTAGCTTCGTTATCCCTTTTAGGGCTCACATCACAATATGTTAAGACGAAAAGATCATATCTCTTTTGTCTTTTTGACGAATTTGTTTTGAACTTTTGAAATTCTTGTGTTTTTGTTTATGAGAGAGTTACAACTCTTTGTAATCATCCTACTTTAGGATTCCTTTATTAAAGTATTAATTTGTGAGTCTACTAAAATCTTATTGAGTTTAAATTTCCTTCCACTATTTCTAGCATCCATAAATTCCTTCCTAAGGACCATAGTGTGCTTCGTAAGGAACAATACTTTGTTTTAGTGGTAAGATATTTACATAATCTTACTTTAGGGTATCTCACAATCTAACACTTTATTAATTTTAGGCTTAATTTTATCTTTGTCAAACCCTTTGACGTATATGTTATAGCCTTAAATATTTAAGGGAAGATTAATTCATTTTCCTTCCCTTCCCATATCTTATATGTGATCTATCTTTAATAGATTAGAATCTTATTTATTTCAAAGGTTGTAGTAAGGAGTATTCATTCATAATTAGGGATATTAATTCGACTCATCATGGATTGATCATGTCTAACATGTGATGTCCATAGAGAATGTCATTCTCTTTTAGGTGATCTAAGATTTTAGCATTTAAGTATTTAGCTCCTCGATCTAATCAAGATGATTTAAAACTCTTCCTAGTTCATCTTATGACTTTTCAAGTCTAAAATTTTAAATATTTTAAATGTTTTGGACTTGTGTCTTATAACCATAACATAATCCACTATCATTAATGGTTATGTGACAAGCATGTTCTCCTCTTACTTGGGTGAACATAGGCCCATATACATCTCTTTGTATAAGGATTATATTGATTAGTAACCATTTTCCTTTTCAACTAAAAGGGGATACATGTCTTTTATCAAGTAAACAAGATTCCTTATACCTCATCTAATAATTCTAAATATCCTTTTATATAAGTAGGTTGGATATAGGATTCTTGCTTATATGAA